TCCAGAACTGGGATTGCTGAGTCATATGACAGTTTCATTTTTAACTTTTTGAGGACCCTCCATATTGTTGTATTGTGACTGCATCAATTTACAAACCCACCAACAATGAATGAGGATTCTTTTTTCTCTTTATACTTGCCAATACAATACTTGTTTGTTGATGATAGCCCTATTGGGGGTGTGAGATGAATTGTCATTGTGGTTTTGATTTGCATTTATTTGATTATTAGTGATGTTGAGCATGTTTTCATGTCTATTTAGGTCCTCTGCCCATTTTTTTATTCAGATTGTTAGTGTTAAGTTGTATGAGTTTCTTATATATTTTGGATAGTAATCCCTTGTCAGATGTTTCATTGGTGATTATGTCCTCCCATTTAGTGAGCTGGCTTTTCATTTTGTTGAGAGTTTCCTTCTCTGTACAAAAACTTTTCTTTGGTGTAGTCCTACTTGTTTACTTTTCTTTTGTTTGCCTAGCCATGATGCGAAATGTCCAAAAAATATTGCTGGGTGATGTCAAAGGATTTACTGCCTATGTTTTCTTCTAGGAGTTTATAGTTGAAGGTCTTGCACTTAAGTTTTTAATCCATTTTAGGTTTATTTTTGTATATAATATTAAAAATGTTATAGTTTCATTTTTTCATGTGTCTGTACAGTTTTCCTAATACCATTTATTGAAGAGATAGTCTTTAACCTATTGTGTAGTTTTGCCTCCTTTGTCATAGATTAGTTGTCCACACAGACTGCTATCCTTTCCCTTTTCTCATAAGTGGCTCCATCTCATTAGCCTACACAAGTCGCATCGCTGCATCTAAATTTAATTGGGTGGAGAAATATAGTACTACCACATCCCAGAAAGGGGAGAACCAGAAATATTTGGTGAACAGCACTAATGACTGCCACACTGATTTTATCCTCTTATTTTTCTTGTCAAAGTCCATCTTTTGATATTGGCATTTGGGGAAAAATCAGATTAAGGTTTTTTTCTATGTATGATAAGACCTTCCTTATAACAAAGTTGGTAAAATGACCTTGGTGCTGAAATTATGCCTTTTTTCTCAGGGGAGAGGTTTGGTGGAACCTACTGTGTGCTCCTGGCTGCCATAGTCTGGGGAAGACCACAGCCACAATCAAACTCTTTCTGAAACTGTCTCACCTCAGCACTCTGCCTACAGCTTCACTATCTGAAGAATCCTAATAATATCTTATCTCTAACCTGGCTTCCATTCAAAGAGTTGTAGGATTTAATTGCCTTATGATTAACATCTCTGTTTTCCTATAACACTATAAAAATTCCAAGCATACCAAATAATCTAATGTCACAGAGATGTTTATCTTAATTCTGCTTAGTATTCCACCTCTTCTTCCATCCACTGTGCCATCTGCACTTCATAGGGTGTGTCAGCCAACTTCCTCCCAGATAATCAATTGCCCTTTATAGGTAAACTTTCTTTCCTCTTTTTGAAAGATTTACTTCATATACTAGTGTTCTTTTTTTATTCTGAAACATCTCTCATATTTTATAGAAAAACTAGATAAAATCATATAAGAAACTACCTCATCTTCTCACTACCAGATCCTTTCACTCAGACTTACCTGCTTTAGTCAAATGGATTGTGTCCCTACAACAATCTAATGCCAACCTCTCTGGTGCTCTGAATCTCAATCCCTTTTTCCTTCTCAAGAACTTTCTTTTTCAATTATCCATTTTTCTCTCTGATATTGACTGATTTATTTACCAGATAATTCCAGCAAGTAAGCATGCTTTTATGGTATCTGTTTCTTTCTTTCTTTCACAGAAAAACTCCATGAAAGAAATTTTTATAATTGTACAGTTTTACATCTTGTTCTGTACCAAACATACTTCAATCATGCTTTATCAGGCCATTAAAATGATTTTTATTAAGCTGAAATGCTAACAATACTGACAGAGTAACAATGATGAGTTGAGAAGTGTTCTAAGTACTTTATGCATGATAAATTTTTATTCCCAAACCACTCATATGAAGATTATGCTATTAACATCTCTGTTCTAGACATAAAAGACTCAGAGATATTAGGTAAGTTGCCCAAAATCACACAGCTGCTAGGAGTAGCTTAGATTTGAACCCAGAAACTTTGGTTTTAATCACTACATCATATTACTTTTTTTAAGGGACAACTATTTCTTTTAATTTATTGAATCTTTCAGTAGTTTTTGACACAGTTAATCAATCCCTTCTTCTTAAAACATTTTATTCTTTGGGTTCTATGTCTTTATTTGGGTTCTTTTTTCTCTCACCCCATATGTTGGTCCTTATCCGTCTTTTTTTTCCTTTCTGTTTTCTTCACTACAAGACTATATTTTGGACATTTCCCCCTTCTTTGGTGGTAGCTGTTCCATGGAAATTTGATTCCGATCTCTTGAATGTGAATCTGGAGCCCATATTTCCCCCGCTAAGTTCTGTTTCATAAATAATGCTGCCTGATTTACTGTATATCTCTACTTGAGTATCTTATATGGATCTCACATTTAACAGAGAAAAAAGAGAACTATAGATATTCCAGCCCAACCTATCTTTTGCTAAATTCTCCTTTCCCCAAGACTTTATCTACCAACACCACCAACCTCAGGACAAATTTAGGAGTAATCCTTAATTCCTTTTCCCCATCACAGCTGACATTCTACCCATTAGCAAGTCAAACCAACCCTGTACTGAAATACCCCTCCCTGCTACTTTCCCACAAGTCTGCTGCTGTTAGTATAGTCTTAGTTCCATCCTTTATTGCTTAGACTACTGCAGTCTCTTCATAATTGGTTTCCCTGATTCCACTCTTGCTTTCCCCTCTGTTTTTTTCTCTAAAGAGCAGCCTGAGAAAAAGTCTAAAGTGTTAATGAGATCATACCAAAGACTTTCCCTTGAAATGAGAGTCAAGTCCCATCTTCTTACTGTGGCATACCAGACCCTACATGATCTTTCCACATTTCTGACACCTTTCCCTTGACTTCTCAATTGTTCAACCACACTGGTCATCCTGCTGTCCTGAGAACATTACCATGCTTTTTCCCATTTGGTACCTTGTCATTGCTGCTCTTTCTCTTTGGAATGCTCTTTCTTAGATCTTCATAATGGGAGCTTCTTTCTCTTCACTCAGGTCATTATTCAGGTACCTTCTTATAGAGGTCTTCCTTGAGATTCTTGCTAAAATATACATTCTCTCCATCCTTAATTACTCTAAAAATATACTGCATTTCCTTCAAAGCACTTACAAATCTAATATTGTCCTATGGAATCATTAATTTAGGCATTACTATTTATTTTCTCCAGAGAGATATGAGCTCTTTAAGGGCATGGTCTATGCCCCTCTTATTCACTGCTGCAACCCTGCAACCCTAGAACCATGCCTGATGTGTGGTATTGACTCAATTAAAATGTGACTAAGTATACTATAGTAAGCAATATGGTGACTTGTGTAACACAAAACATTCAATAAATTAAAATGAATGTAATCATCCTTAGCTAAGAAAGTATGTTCCAGAAGTAGATAGAGAAGTCTTGGGGAAAGGATAATTTGGCAAAAAATAGGTTGGGCTAGAATGTCTATTGTTCTATTTTTTCTCTAAATGTGAGCTCCTTATAAGACACTTAAGTAGAGATATAAATTAGGCAGCACCACTTATGAAATAGAACTTATTGAAGAAATCTGGGCTGTAGATTCACACTTAGGAGACCTACATCAATAGGTACAAGTCATAGACAGAATGAAATTATCATAGGAAGGCTACCAACAAAGCATGAGGAATAGAAGTCTCGCTCTTAAATTTTTAGCATAGCCGAGGATAGCTTTGCGATGTTGGAATGATATTTGCTTCTTAAAAGCTCTTTTGAGAATTACTTGTCAAAGCTGTATGTCATACTTGAGCTTCTTGATCTCTCATGGAGGTATGAGGTGGATAATATGTGTGATTTCCTCTTTCTCACAAGGAAAATCTAAACAAGTTACTGTGCAGCTGTTCCTCATCTCCCTGGGAAGATTAATATTGATATAAATGCATGTGCTCTTCTCAATATGTTTATAACATTAAAGAACTTTAGTTCTCTACTTTTTCTATGTAAATTTGTTTTTATAGTAATCACAGTTTTAAAACTTCTGAAAGTATAGTATTTCAATAAATGTTGGATTCTAAGCTATTTTTATTTTTAGCAGATGAAACTTTTGTTTTATCATGTCATAGTAGGATTAATAGAACCTTATCATAATATGATATCAGGTTCCAAAATTTCACCTTCATAGCCTTACTGCAAGGTGGATGAAATGGGTAGGGGACCTCACAGCTTTTTGGACTGGGTTTCTAGGCTAGATATAAATCCATCCAAGTTCTGTCTGTTCTTTGTGCCTTTTGGTGGCAGTTGTCCCCGCAGGCAAAATTGGAAGGAATGATTTTTGGGTTCTGAAACAGGCTGGAACTTTTGGGACAATAATAGCAATTTCAAGACTCAGCCAATTAATTCATTTCCAGAGAAACTGTGCAGATGAATAGTTAGAAGGGGGAAATCTTCCCTTCATCATTGCTTCTTGAAAATTGTTATTCTGCCTGACCTTCCGCTTACCCCCAGAAAAACATAACCTTTATATTATCCATCAGCCACACGGTAGCATATTTCTCCAGGGGTTTACCTCACTTTAACATGTTGAACAAAAAGCTGTAAAAAAAAAGCCACATGCAACTAAATATGTTTTTGACGGCACTATATATTGCTCCTATATTTCAGACTGTTCTAACGGCTTATTTTAATCTAGTCACCAGTTATTCCTGCTTCACCAAGCATTTACTGGCAGAAATGGTCCTGCCACATTTAGAAAAGAAATCAACTCTCATTATGGAGTCAGCATCATTGTAGTTCTAGTTTCATGCCTAGTGGGTCTCCTATGGAGCAATATGTAATGCACTGCTAATTAAAAAAGAGGAAGGAAGTGTCCAAAGCTTTCTAATGTCTCATCTTTTGTTTCTGTTTGTACAGCTCACCATGTTAAAACGGGCACTTGCGAGGTGGTGGCACTCCACAGATGCTGTAATAAGAACAAGATAGAAGAACGGTCACAAACTGTCAAGTGCTCCTGCTTCCCCGGGCAGGTGGCAGGCACCACGCGAGCTGCTCCGTCTTGTGTGGATGGTGCGAATTTTACGTTGCTCATTGCGGTAGTGTAGCTGGGGACTGCTTAGAACTGGAACCCCAGTGTAATGCTGTGGACGGGGCCAATTCTGAGGGACCTCAGGATAGATTATGTGGTTGATAGGAGGTTATTTGTAAGCATTTTGAAATCTAAAGTCCTTTGGAAGGAGGCCTAGGGACTTACCCAGTTTCATAATAAACAGTGTTATATTGGGATTCTAACAAATTCAAGTGCTTCTTTGATGCCACAAAATACTGATTTACCAGCTGAGGGTGTGTGTGTGTAAATTAATTGGGAAAGAAGAGATGAAAACAGATAATTAAATAGTATGAATTTGTAAGCCCATGGATGGTTCTTAAGAATGAAAAATGAACATCATGCACATAAGAGAATATTTAGTTGTGGATAGAATTTATACAAAATTTGGTTATTATAAAAATGCATTAGGATATTCATTTCTTTATTGATTATTTACCTAATTAGAATAGGATACTCAGCCATTTAATTGATGTTACCATAAATAATAATTTAAATGCTCATATTAGCATGGTCCATATCTTGTGAAGATGACTACTGCCCACAGTAAAAAGAAATTTTAAAAATTGCATGAATTCTAATGCCCTCTGATTTTCAGCCTACTATGGGAAATATAACAATTATTCTAAAATGTTGACTCTAAATTGATCAGGGGCTTATTTGCTTATCTGTTTATGTAAACCAGTTATTGCACACATACTATTAGTTTCTTTCAAATATATAAGTTTTCATGAAGCCTAAATATCTCATGAAAAATCATTCAATAATGTGCTTATTATGTATTGTACGTTTAATGATTCAAAAGGGTAAGTCTCATGTAAAGTATTCTTACCATAATAAAGTAAAATTAAAATAATTATTCTACTCAGAAAATCTAGATTTAGCTTTTTTGGACAAAAAATAAAAATAAAATAAAAAGGCAGGTCCTAAAACACAGTCTTCCCAGTGATAGGAAAACTTGATGGCTTTTTCTTTAAATGTGCACCCAGAGAATGAACAAACCCAATGGAAAACATTGCATCAATTTTCTATCTCCTGTAGCTTCCATAGTGGAACAGAAATGGTGGTGTCATATGCAGCCATGTCTTGAGGGAGAGGAGTGTAAAGTTCTTCCTGATCGGAAAGGATGGAGCTGCTCCTCTGGGAATAAAGTGAAAACAACTCGGGTAAGTGGACAGCCAGCTTGGGAAAGTAGAATGTCTCTGGATTATCAGATCATACACAGTGATATCTGTAAGTGTTGGTTAGAGAATGAGAGAGTATAGTTTTCCATAGTATGTTTTTCCCCATTTTCTCCTTAATTCATTTTTCATAGCACATTTTTATTTCATTCAGAATAACATCTTTATATTGCCATCAGCCGTGTGTTATCTAATAAACAAATATTGTTTGTTCCCTCATGAGATACTGACAGTAATATGAAACCTCCCAAGGGTGCATATAAAAAATGCTGAATAGGTCATCCCAACCCCTTATTCTGCTCATGGATAGAACTCTGAATAGATTCTTAAAAAAAAAATAAATAAATAAAAAGGAGAGAATAGAAAATATTTTATTTTATAATAGAGGCCCGGTGCATGAATTAGTGCGCTGGTGAGGTTCCTTGACTGATCTGTAGGGATTGAGCCAAAACCAACTCTCCAACATCCCCAGAGGGGTCCCAGATTGCGAGAGGGCACAAGCCAGGCTGAGGTACCCCATTGGTGCATAATTTGGCCAGGGAGGGACAGAGGGAGGACCCCAGGGTGTGTCCAGCCTGTATCACCCAGTCCCAATCAGTTGGACCCCAGCAGCAAGCTAACCTACCAGTTGAAGAATCTGCCCCCTGGTGGTCAGTGCATATCATAGAGACTGGTCAAACAAATAGTCAGGTACTTAGCATATTAGGCTTTTAATATACAAGATATGACAATAAAATCTGCCAACTAAGATTCTTGCATTTTTATGAAAGTAATTATTTTGATCTCCCTGGTTTCTGAATCAATAAATAATTTTCTAATATAGAATAAACTTTACATGGGCCTGTTTAATTGTCATCACAAATAGTTTGTTAAGTGCTCAAATTACCACAGTATATTCTATGGATTAATATGAAAAGAACACTATTTAGACAATGATATACTTCTACTTGCAATGCTGACTTCTGGGAAATGGGAGAGAAGTGAAAAAAAGTGTTATTCTTTGATTTTCTAATTAGTTCAATGAATGGTCTGGACTGGCAGGTTTTAAATATTTTCTTTGTAGATTCAACTGTGAAAGTTCAGTCTTGTTTTGCTGAGGGGAAAGTAGACAATTGAATAGAATTGAATCATTGTATAAGGGAATGTTTTATAAAAAACAGAACATAATCCTGACCTCTTGGCTCAGTGTTTGAGCACAGACACATTCAACAGGAGATTGCCAGTTCAATTCCTGATCAGAGCATATGTCTGGGTTGCAGGCTCAATCCCCAGCAGGGGCATGCAGGAGACAGCTCATCTATGATGTTTTTCTCTCATCAATGTTTCTACATCTCCTTCTTCCTTCCTCTCTAAAATAAAATTTAAAAAATTAATAAAAACAATAAACAAAACAAAATAACATAAAACTAGATGCTGGTAATTGACAATAACAATTTTTGTAAATCTGCCTGGGAGAAGTGTCACACAACTCCTTCTGGGGTCAGAAAGGCAACTAAATCAGAGAACGTCCACCCAAAATTAACAAATTATACACAGGTGAGGAGACAATTTTCAATAAGGAAAGTCAGAGGATGTCTAGAGAATGCCACTTGCCAGCCATTACCTGGGTGGAACCACCACTATGTCCCAGCAGTGAGTGGTACAGTACCTCCTGGCAGGACCCCAGATGTCTACAATGAGCACTTGCCAGAGTGACCTCTGCACCAGGCCTCCTCACTAGCCAGCTAGGACCCATCATCCCAGGATCCGGTTCCATGAATCTGCAGTGAGTGCAATCTAGGAGGACTCCTATGCCCGACATCTGACCAGAGCCATCCAAGCCCTGGGACCTGCTGTCAGGGTGACCCAGGACAACATAAGAGCATGGACTGTGCAACTCAGAACAACCCATGTCCACTTCACCCAGGGCCCCAGGTGGTGTGATCTGGAGCAACCCAGTGCATGCCTCACTCAGGGCCACAGGAGAGCTATGACTATGTGACCCAGAGCAACTTATATTCATTCCACCCTGGCCCCTTTGGCAGTCCTGCTGGGGATACTCAGAGCAATCCAGTGTGTGTCTCACTCTGGGATACAGAAGAGTTCAGACTATTGCCCCCTACACAGTGGGGCGGGTCAAACTGGAGCAACAAAGAACAGGCCTCACTCCAGGCCAAATGAAAGTGAAGACTGTGTGACCCAGTGCAACATGCATCCACTCCACCCCAAGCCCAGGGACTTGCTGGGACAACCTAGAGTAACCCAGCACATTTCCTATTCTGGGTCACAGAAGAGCTCTGACTATGCAAACCAGAGCAATCTGAACCCACTCCATCCCAGTCCTTGGGACAGTCCTTCTAGAGCTATCAGGAGCAACCCATACCATGCCACACTCTGGGCCACAGGAGAGCACTGCTGGGATGAACTGGAGCAATCTGATATGCCCAGCCAGGGGCCACAGTACCATGCTGCAAGTGCCCTGCCACAGAGAACTAGGGCACCACTTTGCCGTGGATGCTGGGGCCACATAGTGAATTGACATGAATTACATGTCAGAGGAACTGATACTCTGCATTGGACAACTGAGGGACAAGATCCATGGGAGAAGGGGATACAACTCAGAGCAGAGACAATAAAGTTGTGAGATTCAAGGCAGACCCAGCCTCTGAGCTAATGATTTCTGGACCATTGTCCTGATAGGGTTTTCAACCTCTCAAACCCCAGGGCCAGCAAGAGACAGCAAAATGGGGAGACAAAGAAAGAGTAATTGTCAGAAAACTAACTAAATGAAACAGAGGCAAGCAGTATGTCAGAAAAATAATTCAGAATAAGGTTCATCAAGTTCCTAAACCAGATGGATGAGAAAAATAACATATACACTGGTGGCCAAATTATTATGATCTCTGAAGATAAAATAATCTGGCCACTCAGTATATATACACAAAGGAGGCCCAGTACATGAATTCGTGCATGGGTGGGGTCTGGCCAACCTAGTCAGGGGGAGGGGACATGGGTAGTTGGCCAGTCTGCCTGCCGGTCAAACTCCTGGTCGAGGGGGCATTTTGCATTTTAGCCTTTTATTATATAGGATATACACTGAGTGGCAAGATTATTATGTGTTCAGAGATCATAATAATCTGGCCACTCAGTGTATAAGAATCAAGAGGAAATGATGAATGATATAGCAGCAATAAAAAAACACAATGAAAAGTCTCAACAGTAGACTAGAAGAAGCTGAGAACTGAATCGGTGAGTAAAAAACACCCAATTTGAACAGCAATTGGAAAAAAAATAAAAAGAAGAGGGGAATTTACGGGAACTTTGGGACAAGGTGAAATGAAGCAACTTCCAAATAAAAGGGGTGCCAGAAGTTCAAGAAGAGAAGCAAGGAATAGAAAACCCATTTGGAGAAATAATGACAGAAAACTTTTCTGATATGGGGAAGAAAAAGTCACACAAGCACAGAAAGCCCCAAGCAAGATGAACCCAAAAAGACCCACGCCAACACAGGTCATAATTACAATGGAATCATTAATGACCAAGAAAGAATCTTAAGGGAGAGAGACAGAAAGATCCATAGAAGGGATCTCCATTAAACTATCAAATGATTCCTCAACAGAAACACATCAGGTCAGAGGCAATGGAATGAAGAATATGAAGTAATGCAAAACTAGGGACTGAATCCTATAATACTCTATCCAGCAAAGTTATCAATCAAAATTGAAAGTGAAATAGGAGCTTCACAGACAAAAAAAAGCTAAGGAAGTTTATTACCACCAAGTCAGTAATACACGAAATCTTAAAGGGACTGTTTGAAAAGCAGAAATAGAAAGGGATAAGGGAACACAGACATAAAAAATAAAAATGGCAACAAACAAGTACCTATCAATAATAACCATAAATGTAGATTGGTTAAATGCTCCAATCAAAAGACATAGAGTGGCGATAGAAGTTCCCTATAGTTCTTTTCACATATGGCACACATTTAAAAACATCTTTTAACAATTTTGATTATCGAAATGTAAAGGTCAAGACGATGTAATCTAAATTCTCATAGTAAATTGTTTTATAAGTGTTGCTTTCCTCTGTGATATAAAAACTAAACTCTGCCCAGCTGATGTGGTTCAGTGGTTGAGGATTGACTTATGAACCAGGAGGTCATGGTTTGATTCCCAGGCAAAGAACATGCTCGGGTTATAGGATTGATCCCCAGTAGGGGTTGTGCAGGCTGTAACCTATTGACAATTCTCTCTCTGTATCTCCCTTCCTCTCTATAATCAATAAAAATATGTTTTAAAAAATACCTCAAGGCAAATGAAAACACACTGACCCCAAATCTATGTATGGGACACAGACAAAGCAATTAATACCAAGATAGGTCTATCTCAAGAAACAAAATATTTAAACTCCTAAAAGAACTAGAAAAACAATTAAAAACAGAAAAAGCCCAAAAGTGGGTAGTAGAAAGGAAATAATGAAGATCAGAGAAAAATAGATCTAAAGCATGAATAGAAAAGATCAATGAAACCAAGCACTGATTCTTTAAAAAGATAAATAAAAATAAACCTCTACCCATACTTACAAAACAAAAACAATAACAACAATAAAAAAAAGAGAGGGTGCAAATCAATAAAATCAGAAAGAAAAGAAGAGTGACAAGCAATGCCATAGAAATATATAGGAATACTGTATAAGGAAATACTGTGAACAAATCAGACAACCTGGAAAAATGGATAATTCCTAAAAACATCCAATCTTCCAAGAATGAATCAAGAAGAAACAGAAAATCTGAACAGACTGCTGATAATGAAATTGAACCAATAATCAGAACAATTCCAAATAAACAAAAGCCCGGAACAGATGGCTTCACAGGTGAATTTTACCACATTCGAAGAATAATACCTATTCTCTATTTCAAAAAAAAATTGAAGAGAAGGGAAGGCTGCCAGACTCATTTTACATAGCAAAATTGACAAAGATACTACTACTACTACTATTATTGATAC